GAAGGTGCGGAGGATGTTGACGAGCGCCACGTCGGTCGCCTGGCCCACGTTGGTGCCGAGCTCGTTGCGATGCGAGTTGTTGCACAGGTTGCCCGTGAGGAGGATGCGCGAGAGCGCCTGCGAGTGCTTGTGCGAGAGGTGGTGCGCCACGTCGATGATGGCGTCTTCGGCGGTGAAGCAGCTGACGACGGCCATCTCGTTGGTGGTGAGCGTGCCGGTCTTGTCCGAGCAGATGACCGAGACCGAGCCGAGCGTCTCGACCGAAGGCAGCTTCTTGACGATGGCCTTGCGGTGCGACATGCGCAGCACGCCGAGCGCGAGCGTGACGGTGACGACGATGGGCAGGCCCTCGGGGATGGCGGCTACGGCGAGCGACACGCCGATGGTGAACATTTCGAGCCACGGCCTGCGCTGCCACACGCCCATGAGGCAGATGACGGCGATGACGGCAAAGCTGATCATACTGAGGCGCTTTGCGAGCTCGTCCATGCTGAGCTGGAGCGGCGTGCGCTTCTCGACGACCTCATCCACCATGCTAAAGATCATGCCGAACTCGGTGCGGGCGCCCGTGCCGACGACGATGCCGCGGCCGTGGCCCGACTTGACGAGCGTGCCCATGAAGGCGATGTTTTCGCGCTCGTTGATCGAGGTGATGTCCGAGTCGGCCGCGTGCTGGTCCTGTGCCGCGCCGTTCGCCGCGCCGTTCGCCGCGCCATCGGGGCCAGCGTGGCCGTTGGCGGAGGTCGAGTGCGGCGTGCGCGGAACCTGGTTGGCGTGCTTCTTCCTGGGCTTGATCTCGCCGGTGAGGGTGCTCTCGTCGATCTCGAGCGAGACGCACTGGCAGATGCGAACGTCTGCGGGGACTCGGTCGCCGGTGCTAAAGGTGACGACGTCGCCGGGAACGAGCTCGTTGGCGAGCACGCTCGAGGTGACGCCATCGCGGACGAGGTGGCAGTAGTGCGGGACGAGCTTGTTGAGCGCCTCGAGCGACTTTTCGGACTTTTGCTCCTGGTAGAAAGCGACGCTGATGACGATGATGATGGCGATGGTGATGCTGACGGCGTCGTCGATCTGGCCGATGAGCAGGCTGACGGCAGCGCTGCCGAGCAGAAGCAGGATGAGCGGCTCCTGGAACTGGGCGAGAAACTTGCGCCAGGGCTCTTCGCCTGCACGAACGGCGAACTCGTTGTAGCCACCGGCCTCGCTCCTTGCCTCGTGCACCAGAAGCGGCGTCAAGCCCGACTCGAGCGACGGGCAGTGCAGGCTCTCGAGGCACTGGTCGACGGAGAGATGGGTGTAGTGGGCGGAGGCCGAGACGGCCGCTGAGCGGGAGGACGAGGCAGACGAGGCATTGCGAAACTCTATCGAGGTGGCGTATGGTTGCGAGGCGTCGGAAGCGTTGGGCTTATGGTTGGCTGGCCTTGGTGGCGACGCGAAGGGGGGATAGGTGCTGGCTGCGCTGGTGTACGGATCGTCGGGATTGGCCTTGCGGAGGGTGGTGCTGAATGCAAACTGGTCCGGTGGGGGAAGCTGGGATGCCGAGGGCGGTAGGGGTGCCGAGCGCAGATCGTAGTCGGCTGTTGGGAGCGTCTGGTACGGGTTGGCGCCAACCATGATGGCGGTGTGGCTTGTGCGCGTCGCACGGTAGAGGAGCGGCGGCTACAGTGAAAGGTGGCTCAGTTGTGTGCGGGCATGGTTTGGCCGTAAAGAAAGGTCGAGCAGAGGTAGTGAGGCGCAGAAGCAAGTGGTGGCGTGAAGTCTCGCCTCGATGAGCGTGTTGCTGGAAGAAGGGCGGTGCGACCGTTCAATCCGACACTCTTTGGCCATGTGCCTTGACGTGCTTTTGGGCGCGTGAAGGCGATCTTTAGGTGTCACTTTTGGGCGCTCTCTCCGTGGGCAGGCGCCGTCCCTGATTTGCACTCTAACATGCATTAGAACGAGCTCACTCCCCTCGCGCTGCCCTAGACTGCACCACATCTGCCCTTGACAGTCGAGCTCGCCAACCTGCTCGACAAAGTGGACAATGCGGCTGCCTACGAGGTACCCGTGCGAAGGATCTAGCACAGCTACTTGGGTTGCTCGGATGTGCAAAAAAAGGTGAAAATACAAGTACAAGAGGGTTGGGTGCTCAGCGCATGAGGAGGTAGACGTTGGAGCCGATGGTGATGTTGCTCATGTGGCGGAAGTTGCCGGTGAGCGCCATCATGAGGCCACCGAACGAGCCGTACACGGTGACCTCGTCTGCGACCTTTTCGTCGTATCTGTAGATCTTGCCGTACATGACGTAGTCAAAGTCGTCTGCGATGCCGCCGTTGCCCGGCTGGTCGAGTCTCCACGCATCGCGCTCCGCTGCCTGTGCCGCTGCATCCTGCTCGCCATCGGCCCCATCCACCTTGGTGCCTGCAGCCTCCTTCTTGAGCGTCGATGCAAGCTGGAACGTAAGCTGCTGGCCCTCCGATACGGGCCACACATCCGTAGCAATGTCGATCGACAAGCTCATCTCCAGCGACGGCGACGACGCAATGATTCGCGACACTGCAAGGAAGAGCTGGAGTCAGTATCGATCTATGATCAAAAGGCATATGGAGGACGCGGCGCATACCTCGGTCAAACTTCTTGCCATCAGGATCGATCTGGTTGACCACAAACTGCGTGTCGAACAAGTTGGTCGGGTCCATGTTGAATACGTGGGTGTGCAACGGCACGCTTCAGCCTAGGAAGATGTCCGGGACGAGGGCTACGAGCGGAGAATCGGACGCCGGCCAGTATCTATGCGTGCAGATCGTGGGCCGAGAGTGTGTTTGCGACGAGTGGAGTGCAGAGGTGGAAATGGGTGATGAGGAGGAGGACAAGATGCGCCGAGACGTTGTTCTTCTTGCAGGCGGGTTTTGCACTTTTCTCGGGAGTCGCCGAATTCCGATCGGACGGGTGGCTCGGAATCGGGGTTGTTTAATCGGGCAGCACTGGCACGCGGCTGCAATTGCCGATCGGCAGTGGAACCATGGCGCTCCTCCACTTGCGGCCTGGAAGGCGACAGCCAACTCCGCCGGCACTCGACACCCTTCCTCCAACCCTCATCACGCTGTGCATGCCCAAACCATGGCGGCGCGTCCGGGGCCATCCATGGCGAATCTTTCGCAGACGCCCTCATCCACGCCCGGCGGCGATGCCAAGTGGTACGACACGATGCTGAGCCATCTGTCGTCGCAACCGGCGTGGCCGGCGGACAAGGAAAACGCGGTGCTGGAACCGTACACGTACCTGGATGCGAATCCGGGCAAGGAGGTGCGCACGAAGCTCATCGAGGCGTTCAACGTGTGGCTCAAGGTGCCCGCGCGCAAGCTGGATGCGATCTGCAGCGTGGTGCGCATGCTGCACACCGCTTCGCTGCTCATGGACGATGTCGAGGACAACTCGGATCTGCGTCGGGGCATCCCCGTCGCACACAAGATCTACGGCGTACCCCAGACGATCAACACGGCCAACTACGTCTACTTTCTCGTGTTCAGCGAGATCTTTCGCATGAACGAGGGCTCCTCGCCCGCTGCATCGCCGCCTCTGTCGCCGGGCGAAGCGGGCGAAGCGGGCGTGGCAAGGGCGACGGTGGAGAGGCTTGTGGTGGACGAACTGATCAACCTGCATCGTGGACAGGGCATGGATCTGCTGTGGCGCGACAGCCTCATCTGCCCTACCGAGGAGGAGTACGTGGAGATGGTCAACAACAAGACTGGCGGTCTGTTCCGCATTGCGGTCAAGCTGATGATCTCGCAATCGCCTCCTGCACACTCGGCGCACTTTCCCGACCTGATCCCCATCGTGAATCTGATCGGACTGCTCTTCCAGATCCTGGACGACTTTATGAATCTGCAGAGCAGCAAGTACGCCGAAAACAAGGGGTTTGCAGAGGACTTCACCGAGGGCAAGTTTAGTTTCCCCATCATCCACTCGATCCGCTCCAGTGTCGCCGAGACCGAGGCGATGGGTACGGCCAATCGACAGATCCTCAACGTGCTCAAGCAGCGACCTACGGATTTGGCGACCAAGCAGTATGCCGTGTCGTACATGCGCAACGTCACGCGCTCGTTCGACTATACCACCGACGTCCTCGAGCGACTGCATGCGCAGGCGCACAAGGAGATCAGCCGACTCGAAGACCAGCTCGCCACCCCGAATCCTGCGCTCACCCACATCCTATCGTCACTCCGCAACAGTTGGACGTCTGTATAATCACTCCCGTCCCAAACAATTCAGGCTGACGTGGCTGCTTTGTGGCTGCACGTGTCGGGCGTGCTAGGAATTCACAGCTTGGCTGTTGGATTGGCCTCCTCGGCTTTGCGCGTCTGGGCCATCTTGAGCAGCGCATAGAGCGTTTGGAGACGCGGCATGTCGAGACCGTCACGGCGTGCGATGCGGATGGGATTGCCGAGAATCACCTCGAGTTCCATGGGCCGTCCCGCTTGCCAGTCGAGAAGCATGCTCGGTTTCCCGCCCGTATTGCGCTCGGTGCTCTTGAGGATTCGGTCCGGGCTGGCGTGTTTCTTGGCGTCAAACTCGATGCCGAGGATCTTGGGTGCGGTGGTGAAGATCTCGTTCATGCACGCGTGCAGATGGGTGCGCAGTTCGGAGTCGAGCGCCATGCGTGCATTGGGCGTACCTCCCGATAGCACCGACGACGGATTCATGGATGCATTGATGCACAGCTTGTGCCACCGAGTCTGCTGCAACGAAAGCTCCGATGCAAACTCGGCATCGCGAATCCCATTGGCCGTGAACCACGAAACGAGTTGATGGATATGCTTATCCGTCACAGATGACAGTTGGCCCAGCAGCGTTGAGTCGGAGAGGAGGGAGTTGGGTTTGGCCTGTCCGTTTGTATATGTGCCCATGGTGATGCGGGTCCATCGATTTTGGCGGATGACNGAGGAGGGAGTTGGGTTTGGCCTGTCCGTTTGTATATGTGCCCATGGTGATGCGGGTCCATCGATTTTGGCGGATGACGCCGTGACGAATCTGCTCGGCACTGATCACCGTCACGGCACTCACGATGGGGTTTTGACCGAACTCAGCCCTGTGCACCTCTTCGATGCCTACTCCGTTCTGGATGAGCACGATACAGCTGCCGTCTACACCACGTGTGACGAGCGGCGCAATGTCGAGCGCATCGTTGGTGATGTCCGGCAGCGCCTTGGTGGTCACGACGACATAGTCCCATTGGAACGCGCCGCCCTCGGTGTAATCGCCGGCCTGCTTGATCGAAGAGAAGACGCGGTAGGGCGTGAAATGGTAGTTGCCAAACGAATGCGTCTCGAGCTGCACACCATTCTCGGCAATGGCCTTGTAGTTGGAGCGGCAGACGAGCGAGACCCGCACATCGCGGCCCGAATGGATGCCGTGCAGCTTGGATGCGTAGAAGCAGCCGACGGCACCAGCCCCTACGATGAGGACATGCACGGGTGCAGAGTCGGACATGGTTGCGAGAGGCACGCGAGACAAGGTTGGAGTGATGAAGGTGGGAAAGATGGGAGGGTGCGGGGAGGGCAGCGCGGCTCGGAGCGGTCGGCAACCAAAATTGCGAGCTTTCAGGGCGGCGCAACCGATGAGTAGCCGGGAGGCGCGGGCAAGCCGTTGTTAGGTCACGCATCCCGCCCCATCTCGTCATCCGGCCTTGCTGTCGCACACTCACACAGAACGGCCAGAGACGGTGTTCGTGGGCTCATCCAAGCGGGAAAGAATGGTATTCGGGTCGCGAGAAGCGGGCATGACGAGTATGTACGTGTGAGGCACGCGTCTGGTTGGGAAAGCGATGGCGAGATGGGATGCGGATCAGAGCGTGAGGTTGTACTCGTACTCGCTCTCTGTGTTCTGGCTGAGCCAGAGCAGGACGGTGGAAAACATGATGCAGGCGTTTTGGACGACATTTGCAACGCCGTAGTACTCGTAGCCCTCGGGCAAGGCCGGAACGAGATACTTGACCGTCAGCACGGTGATGCTACCAGCCAGACCGCCGGCCATGAGAGCGAAGCCGATGAAGAGAAACAGGCGGGCTCTCCACTGTACGCTGTCGGTGGCGAACGAGCCGCCTCCTCCACCGCCGAAAGAGAAAGCGGCGCCGACGTCCGTAAGATGCTGCTTGTCGATGAGGTTGACGACGATCATGCCGAGCGTGCCGCACAGGCCGGGCACCCAATCGGCAAAGGTGATGTAGGTGGCTGGTGGATCGTAGGGCGCGGTGGGGTCGATGGGTTTGCGCAGACGCATGGACGAGATGATGGAGGCGTCGAGGAAGAACCACCAGCCCAGGGCGAAGAGCGCGCCGGAGAGGTAGATGCCCGCCTGGCGCTTGCTCGTCTGCATGAACGCCGGCAGCGAAGGCAGCGGCACGAGGCAGACGCGCCTCGGATCGTACGAACGTCTTGGCAGCGACATGCCGAGGGAGATTATGTATGTGCTCGAGTGTGGTGCGAACCTAGACTGGGACTGGCAGTTGGCACAGATGGATGGCGGATGGTGGATCGTGGATGGTGGACGGCTGAAGAGAATGCAGGTACGCGAGCTGAGCCAGAGCCGTGGCCGTGGCCGTGTGGAGGAATTGCATGCACCGGCCAACGTGCGGAGCCGATGTGGCCCGTCAATGAACAGCAAGTGTTAGGGCAAAGCTGTATACACTGCCAGTCATTTCCGAACGGTGGCGCGTGCGCAGAGTGGCGCACTCCTGGGCGCGATTTTCCGCCTTTCCGCTTTCGGCAGTTGCAGAGAGGCGGACAGAGAGGCGGAACGGGTAAAGGCTCGATGCGGCCTTTCAACGAGGCAGAGAAGGGCAGCCGTCCGTGCCTCGCGAATCGCCAAATTGGAGGAAAACGCCCAAAAATGCGACGCGGCGAATGGAACTTCAGTCGGCTCGCGCCCCACAGCACACCGCCATTAGCGCCAGATGACAGACGACGACAGCCCAGTGACGACAGCCCAGTCCAGCGCATGGTCCACCCCTTCTCCCCTCTCCATCAGACCGCCAACAACGGACCCTTGCGCATCACCACCGCCTTCAGCATCATCACCCACCACTCGGGCGACCCACCACCGCGCTCGCTCGATCGCCCATCCGCCACAGTGTCTTCGCTCAAGCGCAAGGCTTCCGGCGATCTTGCTTCTGCTCGCCAACGCAAGCCTGCCGCCTCGCCCGTCCTTGCGCCCTCCCAACTCGCCAATCGGCACGGATCTGGCCACCACGACCACCGCACCAGCGCCTGCTCCATCGTCTCGGTAGACATGTCTGCGCTGCCGCAAACCGCCGACTACTCGGCCACACACGAAGCTGCGGTTGCTGCAGCAGCAGCTGCCGCCGCATCAGCCGCATCAGCCGCATCTTCATCCAGACCCACGCCCGATGCAAGCAAAACAGCACCGCTACCGGCGCACGTGGCGAGTGCCAACTCAACGGGCACGTACAGCTCCGCCTCGCTTCCGCTCGCCATCGCCGCACAGCAGCGCAAGCTGAGCGGGCGGTACGCGCTCGCCGACTTTGCCGTGGAGCGCACGCTGGGCACGGGCAGCTTCGGCCGCGTGCATCTGGTGCGCTCGCGCCACAACCACCGCTTCTACGCCATCAAGGTGCTGCGCAAGGAACAGGTGGTCAAGATGAAGCAGGTCGAACACACCAATTCGGAACGCGCCATCCTCAGCATCGTGCGCCATCCGTTCCTGGTGAATCTGTGGGGCACGTTCAAGGACTCGACGTTTCTCTACATGGTCATGGACTACGTGCCCGGCGGCGAGCTCTTCACGCTGCTGCGCAAGTCGCAGCGATTCCCGCATCCGGTCGCCAAGTTCTACGCCGCCGAGGTGGCGCTGGCCATCGACTATCTGCACCAGAACAACATCATCTACCGCGACCTCAAGCCGGAAAACATCCTGCTGTCGGCAGACGGCCATCTCAAGATCACCGACTTTGGCTTTGCAAAGTACGTGCCGGACGTCACCTGGACGCTGTGCGGTACGCCCGACTACCTCGCGCCCGAGATCGTCTCGAGCAAGGGCTACAACAAGAGCGTCGACTGGTGGGCACTCGGCGTGCTCCTATACGAGATGCTCGCCGGCCATCCACCGTTCTTCACCGAAGACGGCAACCCGATCAAGCTGTACGAAAAGATCATCGCCTGCAAGGTCCGATTCCCGCCCTACTTTGAGACGGGCGTCAAGGATCTGCTCAAGAACCTGCTCACCGCCGACCTCAGCAAGCGATTCGGCAACCTGCATCGTGGCAGCAAGGACATCTTTGGCCACATGTGGTTCGCAGAGGTCGACTGGGACCGGCTGTACAAGCGCGAGATCCCCGCTCCCTACCTGCCCACCGTCACCGCCGACGGCGACTCGAGCCAGTTTGAGCGCTATCCGGAGAACGACGTGTCCGAATACAGCCGCACCGATCTCCCGGACAACTTGGGCCATCTCTTCCCAGATTTCTAGCGCAACTCTTCTTGTCACCCCGCCCACGGTTTTGCAAAGAACCTCTTTTTTATTACTGGCTTGGTGCATGCGTGTAGGGGGGTAGTGTTACAGGTCCGAGTGGGCAGCCTTGCGAGCGGCGGCACGAGGTCCCTTGATCTCGAGCAACTCGACTGCCGAGTCCCGACCAAGTTACCGAAGCGACAGTTTGGGTGAGCAGATTGTCTCGCATGGGCGTTCGATCGGGTGCGGCTGGACAACTTACCCTCAAAGATCAGATGGGCGTTGGGCGGGATCGCACCGCCAGCGCCGCGCGCGCCGTAGCCGTCCGAGGGCGGGATCTTGAGCTTACGCTTCTCGCCCACACACATGTCGCGCAGTCCCTTGTCCCAGCCCTTGATCACCTGGCCCGTTCCCACTGCACACTCCCCACCCTGTCAGTACCTCTTCTCCTCATCCATGCTTGCACGGTGACTTACGTGTGAACTCGAACGGCTGACCGCGGTCGAGCGACGAGTCGAACTTGGTGCCATCCGCCTGTTGTCCCTCGCAGCGTCAGTATGCATCCCCCGCGCAAAGGGCGAGTGGGTAATTTTACTTACAAGAGTTCCAGTGTAGTGCATGGCGAGCAAGTCGCCAGCCTGCGACTTGTCGTCGCACACCTCGGGGCGGAACTTGACGCCCACCTGGAGCTTATCGGGCAGACTGTCTGCTGCTGCTGCGACGCCTGCCAGCGCCACAAGTGCTGTTGCCCAGGTGAACTTCATCTTGATGTAGTGTGTGCAGGTGGATGGTGGTGGTGCGGAAGGTGTGTCCTGTGCGCACACGCCGTCGGTGCGGGGGAGTTGACGTGGAGACTTGTCAAATTCCTATCGGCCGTTAAATTCCCAGCTCCCGAGGGTCTTGACTCCACTTTTGTATGCATGCAGAGTTTGGCAGCCAACCACCATGTCTGCACACCGACCTACCTTCGAAGCTGCCAAGGGGCGGGCGCCCTCTGCACGCGGATCGCAGCAGGTGTCGCTGCGTCATATCCCCGCACAGACCAAGCTCAAGTTCCGAACTCCAGCCGCCGATGCACCGCGTCGAGACCTCAAGCGCGAGTTGCAGCTCGCCGAATGGACCGCCACCAATCGCAAGCGCGCCAAACAGGGGCTCGATGCCCTACCCCCTCCCACCACCGAAGCGCAAGGCGAAGCGCAAGGCGAAGAGGCAGAAGAGAGTAGACAAAGTGCACTAGCTCTCGCGCTGGAGTTGGATCAAGACAGCGAAAGCGAAGCCGAAGGTTCTGCCTCCAACCACGACCAAAACAGCGAGGGAGAAGAAGAGGAGGAGGAGGAAGAGGAGGAGGAGAGTGAAGAGGAGAGTGAGGATGAGGAAGCAGCGCTGCTGCGTGAGCTCGAGAAGATCAAGGCGGAACGAGCCGCCGAAGCCGCCCGACGGGCCGCCTCCTCGGCAGCAGCCGACCAACTCTCGCGCGACGACGAAATCGCAGCAGGCAATCCGCTCCTCAACCTCCAATCCGCCATGGCCTCGAGCAGCGCTGGCAAAGCTCAAGACTTTGGCGTGCAGCGCAGATGGGACGACGACGTCATTTTCAAGAACCAAGCCGCCCCTCGCTCCTCCGGCTCCCAGGGCTTCGTCAACGACCTCTCCCGCTCCGAGTTCCACAAAAAGTTTATGAACCGTTACATCAAGTAGTCCCCCCACCCTTTCGCCCGGTCTTTGTATCACCATCCGTCACAGCTGTACTAGTATTGTCAGTTCGAAGCTTGTTCTTTGTATCGTTGCTCGAGATAGGTTTGCCTATTTAAGCCAGATGCGCTAGAAGTTCGAGTTGGAGCATGTATGCGCAGCAGTCTTGGCACACGACCAAGCAGCGTCGTCTTGACGTCGACCCAATGGTGGTCAGATCGAGGTGAGGTAGCGTGGCTGGAAGCCATGCGAGAGCACAGCGCGGGAGGAGGTTGCGGCTAGCCCGCACAAATCGGCTTCCCAGCTCCTGTTTGAGATACACGAAGCGGTGGTTCGAGGTGCAACTGAATGATCACAAGATTCGCGGCTGTCGACGTGAGCATCGGCTGCTGCAGGCACGAGCTGGGCCCATTCAACAGCATCTCATGCCGCAAGCGAGTTTCGACTGTGGATCAGCATGAGTTTCAAGCAGTTTGAGGGACCGTGCATGAATCTGTGTCCAAGCTGTCCCCAATCTCAAGCTGCGTGTCCCGCTACAGGGCACTGCAGCGCGAAGCTGATCCAGTCGACCTTCTCGCTGAGCCTGTCTTGACATCATGCTCCTCCAGTGCACACGTACAGTTGCAGAATAACAATGCAGATTCCGGTTCTACATGCAAGCAATTGAGGCGTCTGGGGTGCAAATGCCAACAGCGGACCTAGTGGATGCCCTCGCGCTCGAGATCAGCCAACAGGCCCGCAAGCACGGCCGAGTAGACAAAGACGAACTGGCGGCCCGTCTGGATGAGCGACATTCTCTGCTCGCGCACCGTCTCGACCGTGGTCTTGACCAGGTCAACTCCCTCGACATATGCCTGGTCGGCGGCCTTTTGCGGCGAAGCGCCGTCGTGCCTCAGCACGCTGCTGAGACGGGCGGTATCCTTGGCTACCAACACCTGAGCTTCGGCGGCTGCATCGGTGACCGAGGTCATGGACGCACTCGTGCTCGGCGTACCCGTCAGCACGTCAAACGATCCGGATCCAGCCGAGTCGCTTGCCGACATGCTCTCTCCGCGCGCCGCTCCGAAGCCAAACGAGTTGCTGCTCGCCACGTCAAACGGCGTCGGCTCGTTGCTGCCCGTGATCGTCGAGGTCGACTGATCGCCGACTGCACTCGGCCCGTTGGTGTCGGCCTGACCCGCTTCGTCGCCCTGCGAGCTCTGGCTCAGAGCAAGTTCAAACGGATTCATGGCAGACAGCAGCGCCTCTTCGATCGACCTCGAGCCGCCATCGGCCACGGCGCCCGTCGTAGGCGAAAGGCCGTTGGAACTCGACAGGCGCGAATGCACGCCTGCCGCCGACGAAAACGACGACCTCGCCGAGCCGCCGCCGCCGCCGTGGAACGACGGCGTCGAAACCTCGGAGAACGGCGACGACGCCTGCCTCCACGCATCCGAAGACAGGTGCGGCGGCAGCTGCAGCGCACCGCCGCCGCGCGTGGGCGAGTGCAGCTTCGGTGCCGCGCCGTCTCCCTCCTGCTTGGGCGAAGTCATGGCGCTCGCGGCCGAGTCGTTGCTGCCGACAGACTGCATGGCACCCGCGCGCAACTTGCCCATAGCGGTCGCGTTGAAGTTGAACGTGGGCGAGCTGAACGGGTTGATGAATCCGCTCGGCCCTGCCGCACCCTCACCTGCTTGGGTCTGCGCCTCGGGCGCTAGCTGCTGGCTGATGCTGCCCGCACTGCGCTGACTGCCCAGGCTGCTGCTGAGGTTACTCGCTGCGTCGACGCCAGAGCTGCTCTCGTTGGACCTGGACCTGAACATGGGCGGTGGCGAGCTCAGGTCGCGGCCGAAGCTCGAGCCTCCATGCGTGCTGCCCATGTCGATGTCCATGCCCGTCGGCGACAATTCGCGCTTCAAGCTGCGCCTCGGCGTTCGCGGGAAGCGATCGCCCAGTGGCGACGAAGCCGGCGCCATTTCGACCTCGGGCGTGGCATCGGCCGCAGCCGCACCTTCGCCACTGGCACCTGCAAGGCCGTTCTCCCATGTCGGAGGCTCGGGCACCTGGGAGGGGTCGACATGGTCAGTGGCAGCGAGCTTCTGACGGCGACGCACTCTGCGGAGCGCGTCGAGCGTGGCATCGATCACGATGTAGGCGCCCGTGCGACCGACACCTGCAGAGCAATGTACGACCATGGGTCCAGCTGTGCCGGTCCTTCCGCGCGAAACTGCGCTGCGCACATCGGCGTCCGCTGCGTTCTGCGCGCCCGCGGCCATGTCGATGAGCAAGAGCAGCGACTCGGGCGTCTCTGGAATGTGGTAGTCCGGCCAGGCGATGTACTGAAGCTGGACCACCCTGCGCGGCTCGGCGTGCGGCTCGGCGAGATTCTTGAGCAGGAATGTCCTGCGTACCGTCGTGGGTTCTCGCTTGCCGGCCGAAGCGGAGTGATGCTGCGGCTGAGGCGGCATCGAGGGGAAGAGCGCGCCGCCCTGGTCCGTGCTGCTGCCGAGCACGCCCTCGCACTCCTCGGAGCGCATCTTGTTGCCTTGCTGGTCGAGCACGACCTCTTCGAGCTTGGTGAGGCGGATGTGGTCGCCGTATTGGGAGGCGAGCCAGTAGGGATGGCTCTGGAGGCGGCCGCTCTCGTGCTCGCGGGTGAGCATGACGATGACGCGGCTGTTCTGCTCCCATACGGCGGTCCAGAAAGCGTCAAAGGTGCTTGGAAGCGGCGCCTGCGTGGCGATGTAGCGGCGCCGACTGCCGAGTTGCTGGGGCGGCTGGACGAAGGAGGCGTTGATGTAGTCGGAGCCAGAATCGTGCGCCGACTGGGGCTTGCTGAGGCGCACGCGGGAGTGCTCGTAGGTCCAGATGTTGTTGTAGCGGTTATCGGCGCCTCGCTCGAGCGCGGCTGCAATGCTGAAGGGGAAAGCGTGCGATCTGGCGTCGAGATGACGCACGCCAAGCGAGGGCTTCTGCATGGCCGCAGCCTGGGCGGCGGCAAAGTCCTTGGCGCGCGGATCGCAGTCGGACTCTGCCGAGTGCTGTTGCATGGTGGCGATGAGACGGTTCTGCTCAGCCTTTTCGATGTCGAAAAAGGCCTGTGCGAGGGCGAGAGCGCGGTCGGCGGGAGGGAGGCGCACGAGCTTCTGCAGGAACGGTGGCAACTCGCTGACCTGCACATCGGACATGGAGGGCAGGTCCATGGGGATCTTTTCGGTGATGCCGTGCTGCAGTTCTCTGTTTTGGCGGATGTTGTCGAAAAATGGGTTGGCACATGCAGCCGCCGGCCGATTCGAGCCTTTGGCCTCGGGATCGTTGGCGCCGGATTGCGACTGGCCCTGGTGGTGGGAAGCGAGGTTGAACTGGAGCGAGTTTGTAGCGGCAGGGTTTGCACCCTCTTTGGCAGGCGAAGTGTTGCTGCCTGGCCAGCCGGCGACGGTGCTCTGTGTTTGGAAAGCCTCTTTGGGCAGACCGCGGGGCTGAACGAGAGACTGTCGAGCGTCGATGTCGATGGGGCTGGTCGCGGCAGGCGATGCTGTGATACCGTTGAGCTTGAGCGTAGGCGGTAGCCTCATGCGCGCATCTGAACCGCTTCGGGATGGCGCGGGCTTGGCAGATGCAGCTGCACCTGCGCCCGCATCTTGGTGCTCTGCTGTCCTGCTGAGGGCGGCCGAGTCGATAAAGTCCCTGGCACGCTTTGAGCGAGCGAGCTTGTTGAAACCTCCGACGAGCCAGCAAAGCTCGCCTGCGAATCCTGCGGCTTCGAACTTCTTGAGCACGCCGATGAGGCAAGGGCCGCCGCCGCCGGCGGTGGCGTTGCCGGTGCCGTCGATGCGGGAGGTGTCTGTGTCGAGGACGATGATCTTTGTGATGCCGGGTTCCTCGGGCAGGCTGATGGTGGCGCCACGCTTGCGAACGGCATCGATGGATGCTTGGGATGCATCTGGCTTTGGCTTGAGAGGGCCCTTGCGCCAGCGCATGAAGCGACGGCGGTCAGCGATGCTGCCGAGCATCTCGTCTTCGATGCGTTCGACGGTGATGGCGGGACGCTTGAGCAAGGTGCTGGGAGCGCAGATGTTGATGCTGGAGACTACGCGTGCGGTGGAGAAGGAGGTGGAAGGACGGATGTCGAGGATGAGCACGTCGTCCGGAGCGTCGGCTGCTGAAGACGACGTGGAATGCGCGGGGGATGCTGAAGCGGCGGCGTTGGATTGCTTCCATGGAGGCGGATTGAGCGTGTCTGCAAGCGCATCTACGTCGAGAGCTTTGAACTTTGTGAGGTCATCTGTGGACGAGCTAGCTCTTGGGTTGACGGATGATGAGGAGGAAGAAGGCAGGGGAAGGGACGCGCTGGAGGAGAGTGCGCCCTTGAGTCTAGCGGAGAGATTGAGATGGCTGCGTGAATGGGAAGCTGATGATGAAGGCGAAGCGCCTGGGGCCATCTTTTTGGGGACGGAGGTGGCGTTTGCTGCCGGGGTGGGGGGCACGCCGAGACGACCGATTTGAAAGCGGTCTGGCAAAGCGGTGGTCATGCCACCGTCCGGAAAGAGCTTGGCCCACGGATGAGGATCTGGGTCGGCATCGTTATGGTGTGCGTCGGCGGTTTGGTGTGATGGGAGGCGCGCCCCGGAGGCCGAGACGAGAGGGGTGGCGAGTGCGAAGGGGCTAGCGATGCGAACAGCGCCTGGATTAGGGCCGTTGGGATCGGGCACGTGAATGGCGGCAAAGTAGTCCGGCTCTGCGTTGCTGGTTGAGGCGGCGGCGGAAGGTGGATTCGACATGCGTGATGTGGTGGCGGAAACGGTGGAAGAGGAGGAGGAGGAGGAGGAAGAGGAGGAGGA